TTTTTCATCATTGATGTTTCTATTTCTCTCTTGCTCTCCTTTCCTCTCTCTGAAATAAAAATTCTATCTAATAAAGAGGAAATATGCACATTGACCATCACAAAGATGGACGCATCCATAGCCACAAGATGGCAGCGCCCAGTCCCCCAGTCCTTTTAACTCTCGCCATGCTGAAGGGCAAGCAGGCTCCGCAGAGAGCAGACAGCAGGGCCTGTGGCGACAATGAGCAGGGAGGTCCACAGAGAGCAGTAAACCACGGGGAGCGGCCTAAGCCGCCAGTAGGACATCCCCTGAGGGCTCCCAGATTGGAGAGGGTACAGGTCTGGCTGAGGCCCCCCCACCCCCGCCCACGAATTTTGTGCACTGGTCCTCTAATATATATATATATATATATATATATATATATATATATAAAATATATATATATATTTTTTTTTAAGTTTGGCCTGAAAAGCAGTATCTTTATGGTTCCATATACCTTCTCACTTATTTCCCAGAATCACCCGACACTCACAAGCAGCACTCTACGGCTGTCCTATAAGAAAGCATTCATTACACTTACAGGTCCTTATCGCCATAGCCTCACCACCTATACCAGTGCGAGTTTCTCCTCTCTCCCAGGAAAGCCGGCAGCACTCATCCAGGAGGCAGGCACATCATCAGTCAGTGAACTAGAGCATACAACACGTGATTTAGTACCACTCAGCCCAATTCGACTGAGCACAAGGCCCAGATGTCAGAGATCATGGAATCCTGCTCATCTGTGGGAAAGACCGGTTCCACTGAAATAGTTCAGCCGGTGCCGGCTAGCAGCTCCCCTGGCTTACTAGCTCCGAGTTTCCCACCTCGGCATTACTGACGTTCTGGGCTGGTTAAGTCCTGTTGTGGGGATTTCCCCATGCATGTGATGTTTAGAAGCGTCCAGGCGTCTACTCATCATGTTAGCAGCCCCCACCCATCAAATCTGTCTCCAGCACGGCCGTGTCTCCTGGGTAAATGTAAGTTAGACGCCTGAGAGGCACGGGCCTAACTTACATCCATACGCCTGCGTGCGCAATATTCCACTCCATTTCTCTCCGAGAACACAACTTTCGGCTTCAAGGAGCTTATAATCTAAAAGCCAGAAAGGTCCACAGTCAAGGAGGATTTTATTGCAATATTCTGTAAATGAGCAGGGCTTCAAAATGCCACTTCTGGCAGTTTCCCCACCAGAGCAATCTCCCCGCTCTCTTAGCTTACAGACATCATGTCTTGTCTATCTTGAACCACACAAATTCCTCAAAACCAAGGCTCATGGCTCACACTGTGCGCGTCAGTCAGTCCCCGTGTGGAGGGACAAACATGTTCCATTCTACTTGGAGGCTCACCAGCGGCTCCACCTCTCACCAGGCTTGGGGTGCTGGACACGTTCCTCACTCCCTATGCCCAGTCCTCTCCACAGTCCCACAGAAACAATACACCAAACCTAATTCATGGGAACAAAGTCAGTATGTGAAGTGCTTAAGATAGTGGTTAGCGGATATAAGTGCCCAATAACTCTCAGTTATTGTTTTAATTACAAACCTATAATAGCAGGCACCATCATCACTAATTTATGGATGAAGAAACAGAGCCTGAGAGATCAACAAGCTTGTCCAGTCACAAAACTATACGGTTATGAAGCAATGATTCAAAAACAATCTGTCTTGATTCCAGAGCCCATAACTTTTTCAATATGTCAATAAAATTACATTAAGATTCATTAACTATCAAAAATGTTATCAGTCTTACTTCAAAATCACAACCAGCACTACACATTGTCATTAAGAGATTAATTTATAACCTACCTAAAGCCAAGCATATTAAAGTTTACAGAGCCTTCACATACTGGCACAGCAAGTTTAGTTTCTATATACCATTTTAATATTGGAAAAGTCAGAACATGGACCTCAGCTCCTGAAACGGTTTAATACATCGCCAAAGCAGCCTGTTGGAAAGACTATCAGCGTGAGAGGTAACATGGGTTGAGACAAAGGTTACCCCAAGGCCGTTGTCTTGTCCAGGAGAGAGATTGTTCTAAGTCCCAGAAGGTTCTGTGGATCCTTTGATTTCATCAGTTTGCCCAGACCTCATGCCCAAGTGCTTAATGACACACATCTCACACGCATTTGGTTGTCCTACAACTTAATCTTTTTCACTTAAATTTTGAATTACGTTACCAATGATGTCTGTATACCCCTCCCTGAAACCATTTCACTAAAGCCATTATTAGTTTTTCCACATTTCATATACCATTGATATGTTCTCCAAACTGAACTTTAAAAAACAGCTAAAGCCTATATAATTTTATAGTCCCCCCCAAAAAAAAATCAGACTTGAAAGAGACCTAAAAATTTTAGCCCAATCCTCTGGGACACAGAGATAACTTGATAAAATCTTCTCTAATATCTGATTTAATCTACAGTTTGGTCATTTGGGCCCTTTATTTATTTTTTAATATTTTTATTGATTTCAGAGAGGAAGGGAGAGAGAGAAACATCAATGATGAGAGGATCATTGATGGGCTGCTTCCTGCATGCCCCCTACTGGGGATCAAGCCCACAACCCAGGCATGTGCCCTGACCAGAATCGAACCCGGGACCTTTCAGTCTGCAGGCCGACGCTCTATCCACTGAGCCAAACCGGTTTCAGCTCCTTTGGATTTGTAATATATTTTCTGTCCCCACAGTTGAGTAGCCTCTCAATACAGTGCTTACCAAAAGGGTTAAGTTGTCCACCATGTTCATTTTGAGTAAATAGTTCAAATAATCTCACTCCCAACCTACTCTCTGAAGAGAAAGAGGAGGCTGAGAATCTGCTATTTAGGACCAATATTTTGCTTCTCCGCTGTTACTATTACCAGTCTCCTGTAGGAGTGCACCTCCTTCCCCCACACCGTCTTCCTTCCTGTTCACGCAGGAAAGGAACCTCACTAGGCACCATGTGCAGCAATGTCAGCTTTCACTCCTTTCCTCACCATTTTGACAAACGGCTCTGGGTGTTGCCAACCCCGCTACGAAGTCAGCAAGAAATCTCCAATGTCTCCCCACGGCACCCCAGTGAGGAACCCCCTGGCGTCATGCTCACGTGGCTCTTCCCTTCTCCAGGTCTTTCTCCTCAGCAGCTCTACACGCTCTGCTCCCCCCAGAACCTTCTTCCCGGGGTCAGCCCCGTCCTGTCCATTCCTTCTGCTGGAATACTGACCCCTCCCGCCCTCCTCCTCCCTCAACATTCACTCCCAAAACCACTCTTTGGGAAGCCTTTCCTGAGGGTTCTGCTTCCTTAAAACTACAGCTCTGGTTTGGCTCAGTGGATAGAGCTTCGGTCTGCAAGAATCCCAGGTTCACTTCCCCTGAAGGGCACATGTCCAGGTTGTGGGCTCCATCCCCAGTAGGTCAATGATTCTCTCATCACTGATGTTTCTACCTCTCTCTCCCTTCTCCACCCCCCTCTCTGAAATCAATAAAAATATACTAAAACACACACACACACACACACACACACAAATACACATAACTTGTTCAAAACCACTTTACGGGAATTCTATCCTTTATGTTTTGGTTTTCTCGCATTCACTCCTATGTTTGGAGGACAAACACCAGGGCTCAGCTGTGTTCTTCCTCGCACTGCTCATGAGCACAGCCAAGCTCTCCAATACAGCCGTCAAGTGGAAAGTAGCCTTTGCTAGGGTTTTAATGACGGGTTGGCCAGTAAGTCACAATTAGACTCAGGCAATTTCACCAATAAAATATTTTATTTATGCCTCAGATTGACAAAGTTAAACTCTTCTATTTCACTTATACAAAAAATTGTCCTAATTTCAGGGAAGGACAATTTTTTTTTATACCAAGTGACTTAGCAATTAAACAAAACTCCTCTCCCCGTATGCCATCATAGATGCTAAAATTTTAAGAGCCGTGGGTTAAAAAAAATATTCCTTTGGCTCAGAATTAACTTGCTATAGAACAAGAGCAGATTCTGTGGTAGCTGGGGATGACTGCAGGGCAGCTCACACACTGGGAAGTAATCACTGAAGAGAGCCACCATGTGCTCCGTGAGCCCCCAAACCTATTATAGAAAAGCCCCGTTACCTCTGGAATCTATGAGCCCGCCCTGGGTGAAGTGCCTCCCCCGTGCCAGGCAGGGGGTGGAAGCTAAGACACCGATGAACACAACGACGCACGCAACTAATTCCTAAATAAGGCACTCGCGCACCGGGCAAGGCTTTCTTGCCCCCTCACCAGCCATCTCCGTGACTCTGCTGGGATCACATTACTGTGTTAGAAAAGTAGGTGAGAGAAGTTCAACACTCCAGGATGCCGCGCTGGTACTTAAATCTCAAAAACCTCTTTGCTCAAAAGACCCGTGCAGTGACAGCGCCAAGAAGGGTGAACCAGGACGCTCACCGCTCCATCGGCCGCCCCCGCCCGCGGCCAGTGCGGACAGCTCGGCCAGTGCGGACAGCTCGGCCAGTGCGGACAGCTCGGCCAGTGCGGACAGCTCGGCAGCTGGAAAGCTCTCCGGCCGCCCCGCAGCCCCGCACAGAGCATCGCAAGCCACGCCGTGGGCGCTCTCCCTGCAGAAACGGCACCAAACCCGAGACTCCCCCTTAGGTGGAGCGGCGCCTTGTCCACGGTGCCGAGCTGCCCCCTCCCCGCCTTCTGAGCAGCGAAAAAGCTCCACCGATAAGCTCTCCCTTGAAAAACGAAGTGACCCGTTCAGATTTGCAAAATGAAGTCCCCGGCCAGCAGCGTGGGGAGGAAGGCCTCCCACACACATGGGCGTCTTTGCAAAAGGTGCCCGCCTGCCCGCCTGCCCCTCTCAGCGGGGCACAGAGCCCGGGGATGGCTTGCATGCGGGTCCAGGGGTCCCAGGCGGCCTGGGCGAGCCGAGAGGCCCCCCTTTCGGCCTCGGGGAACCCCGCCTGGGTGTCTCCCGGCCCCCCGGGGAGGGCAGGGGGCAGCCGCCCAGGGGACACTCACCAGCACGGCGGTGCAGATGGAGCGCAGCTCCGACTCCACCTTCTCCCGGTAGTCCTTGATGAGCTGCAGCTTCTTGTCCGAGGTGTCCGTCTTCTGCTCGATGCTGGAGATGACCCTCCAGGCGGAGCGGCGGCCGCCCACCACGTTCTTGTAGGCCACCGACAGCAGGTTGCGCTCCTCGTTGGACAGCTCGGCGCCCTGCTCCGTCACGGCCTTCATGCAGGTGGCCATGTCGTCGTAGCGCTCGGCCTGCTCGGCCAGCTTCGCCTTCTGGATCAGCTCCGTCTTCTCCATCGGGGCGCGGGCAGGGGCGCGGGCGGGCACCGGCGGGTCGGGGTCGGCGGCGGCGGGCGGACGGCCTGCGGGCGGCGGGGCGGGGCGGGGCGGCGCCGTCAGACAATGCCCGCCGCCCGCCGCCCGCCGCCGCCGCCGCCCCTTTTGTCCGCCCCGCGCGCCGCTCGGTTGAATTTCCCTCCCCCGCCCGCTCCCCGCCGGCCGCGAGGGCGCCCCGGCGGAGGCGGCCCGGGGCGGGGGCGGGGGCGGAGGCGGCGGAGGAGGAAGGGCCGCGCCCGCCCGCCCGCCCGCCCGGCCGGCCCTGCCCAAGATGGAAGCGGCCGTTGGCTCGCCCCTTCCCGCCGCAGCCGCCCCGAAGGAGAGCGGCGTGCAGGCCGCCCGCTTCCCCGGGGCCGTCCGCGCCCGCCCGAGGGCCCGGCCGCCAGGCCCGAGGCGGCGCGGACGCCCCGCGGCTCACCTTCTCGTCTCCGCGGCCGCGGCGCGAGTCCCACCACCTCGGCGCGCTCCTGGCTCTCGGCGAGGACCCTCCCGTCTCAGCCTAGCCCGCCGCCGAGGGCGGGGCGCCGGCGCCGCGGCCTCGCTCCCGCCGGCCAATGGCGCGCCGAGGGACGCCGGGGAGTCCCGCCCCCCGCGCCGCCGCCGGCCAATGGGGCCCGAGCGCGCGGAAGGGGGCGCGGGGGGCGGGGCGCGCGGGCCCGCGGCGGCTCGCAGGGTGGGTCGGCCTGGGCAAGCTCGGTTGGCCGGCGGGCTGCGGCTCTGGCCACGGGGTTTCCTCCAATTAGATCCAGGGTACAAGGACGTCACTGTTGCCATTGCGATGCCGCCGCCGCCGCCGCCCTCCCCTCCGCCTTCCCCGGCGTCCCCGGCGCCGAGTGGGTGCGGCCCGGGAGCCGGAGGCTCGCCCGGCCTCGCCCGCCGCAGCCGCGGTGCAGAGGAGCCTGGCATCGCGCGGCCCGGGGCAGCTGCGGCCCCACGCGGCCAGGCCCGGCCGCCAGGGAGACACCCAGGGCTGCGGGGTTGCACCGGCGCCTTTCTCTCCTCCGCCTCCCTCCCTCCCTGTGCCTGACAAAGGTTTGGAGCTCCCTCCACCGAGCCCGGCCCTGAAGGACGCTGGGAGCCGGGCTGCGAGTTAGACACGATCCCATTCCCCCCCCCCAGGAGGAATGAGCTGCTGGAGAAATGCAAGTGTTTCCGACTTGGGCACCGAAAACCTGAAATGCCTTCCCCCTGTAAAACACTCCCAGGAAGTCCGGGCAGGTCTCCCTGGCAATGCCAGGTATCGTGATTTTCTTTAAAGTGAGAAATGGGGGGGGGGGGGGGGGGCAGTGGTAAGATAGGTACACATATAATACCTTAATAAAAAATGAGAAAAGTGAAAAAAAATAAAGTGAGAAATGACATTAAAGATCATTTTGAAGAAACACACCCATTAATCCCTCCCCACCCCTCTACCCCCAAAAAGCAACCATTTTTATAGTTCTTTCCGGCCTTCTCAGATGATGCGTCTAAATGCACATTTTCCACATCGTTGTGTTATGTGTGCACACTTTTTGTGTTCTGGCCTTGTGTTTGCGGGAGCACCGGGAAAGCTACCCTCTCCCTGGATGGAGACTCCTGACTGGCTCCCCGTGCAGGCGCTTGGGAGCCGAGGAAGATTGCCCCGCATGCCGTTAATTTGGGGTCATCGCTGGCACCTTCCTTTCCCTGTGCCCGGGAGACACTGCCCTCCAGCCCTTGCTTCTCTCCTGGCACATCCCCAGTGCCCTCCCGGGAAAGGCGGCTGTCCTGGGCGCCCAGAAACCTGCTTTTGTGTCATCCGCACGTGAACACTGCCATCTGTGCACACTTGGCCGCGATTCCCGCTCCAGCCCATCCGGGGGAGAATGGGCCCCTGAAAACAAAGGATGCCAAATAGACAAAAATAATTAAGTAGAACGGCAGGTGCGGCTCAGGGGTTGAGCGTTGACCTATGACCCAGGAGGTCACAGTTGGATTCTGGGTCAGGGCACAGGCCTGGGTTGCAGCTCCATCCCCAGGGTGGGGCGTCCAGGAGGCAGCGGATCCATGATTCTTTCTCATCACTGAAGTTTCTATGTCTCTCTCCCTATCCCTTCCTCTCTGAAATCGATAAAAACATTTAAAATAATAATAATAATAATAATTAAAATAATAATAATAAAATAATAATAATAATTTCAAAAGAAAGCAAAAGATGCTACAGCCAGGAAAGCATTTCAGATTGGAAGTGGAGATGGGAGCAAATGTAGAGCATCTCAAGCAAACAAGCTCTGAGCATGCAGACCCATCGCAGGAGGTGCTGACTTTTCAGAAACCAATGCTCCCACCAGCTGCCCCTCCCTGTCCGGCTGGCAAAGGCTGCTTTGTGCTGTGACGGACCGGACCAGGGCGGCCGGGCTGGGAGGGGCCGGTGTCCTCCTGCAGAAATGCCTTCTTGTGCCCGGCGTCCTAATGGAGGGCCCCGCTGTTATTTCTGGAATCCCCGGGCCCGACTGCAGACACACGCATGTTTATGGCCGTGTGGGCTGGGGTGGAGCCGACACCAAGGAATCCCATTGGAAAGAATTTGCATGTGGAAGGTCAGAGAAAATGCTTTCTGTGTGACCAGTGACTGGAATGAGAGACAGCTCAGGCAGGGAGGGACCAGTGGAGGTAGATGGGGGGAGAAGGGCGCACGGGGCGGGGACTGTCAGGGCCTGAGCCCTGACAGGGAAGGAGGGAGGGAAAGAGGGAGGGGACAAGCACAGGAATGCTTTGTCGAAAGCCGGGCTGCACTGCCACCTCCCAGGTGACCTTGGGCGAGATGTGACTGCGCACCTGCAGCTCAGCCTGAAATGTCTGCTCTTGTTCAATCATCAAATATGTATTGAGTGCCCGCTCCTTTATTAGGATCATCTGGAATCAGGGGGAAAGCTGCTCAGGAACCATGGCACCCGGTGGCCTCGTTAAGGGCTTTATGGGGACGGAGGAGCGCGCTCAGACCTAAACTCCTCGGCACCTGGAGAACGAGGCTGAGAACGGAAGGCTCGGGAGGTGCCCGGAGGCAGACACACAGAGCTCCCGTCTAGTGAATGAGCACACGGGCCCAACACTCGTCCTCGAGCGTTGAATTTGCCTGATGCCACTCTGACATCAGGGCTATTGTGATCACAGACCAGGGAGGGCAGGTGTCCTGCACAGAGTCACACGGCTCATGGGGCGCAGAGCCTGGATGGAGCCTGTGGCGCAGGTCTCTGCCCCGAGCCTGGAGGCCCGTCCCCGTAACGGCTCTGCCAGCCTCTGCTCGGTGCTGGGGGGACGCTCAGAAAGGCTGACCAGACTCTGTCCTCTAGGGGTTCCGTCCTCGTGAACGGGCCACGGGGTGTGCATCCCCGGCCGCTGTCCCTGGAGGACTCAGGAACAGACAGCGAATGAGAAGGACACGAAGCTGCTCTTTCTTTGTTGGGTGGTCTCCTTACTGTTCTCTAAGAGGCTGCCAGGACGCTGACTGGAAGCCAGAAGATCCCAAATCCCAGCCCTGCTTTCCATCTGAGGTTGGATCTTGGACTCCATGGTCCTCTCGGAGCCTCGGTGTCCTGCCCGACACCATAATCCCTGCCTCTAAGGGGCGGTGGAGCTATTGCATAGGACCGAGGTCGGCAAATGGCGGCTTGCGAGCCACATGCGGTGCTTTGGCCCCTTGAGTGTGGCTCTTCCACAAAATACCACGGCCCGAAACCGGGATTGTTCCACTTGTGGTCGGTTGGTTGCAGTCGAGTCGTTTCCTCGGCCAGACACGGACGGTTGGTTCACTGCGCCCGTTCCTCCGGCTCCTCCCCTCCTCCTGCCCCGTGGCTGCTGGCAGGATGGCCCACAAGCAGATCTGCTACTCAGACAAGTACTTCGACGAGCACTACGAGTACCCGCATGTCATGTTACCCAGAGAACTTTCCAAACAAGTACCCAAAGCCCATCTGATGTCAGAAGAGGAGCGGAGGAGATGTGGTGTCCAACAGAGCCTTGGCTGGGTTCATTACATGATTCATGAGCCAGAACCACATATTCTTCTCTTTCGACGACCTCTTCCAAAAGATCAACAAAAATGAAGATATTGGGGATCGTTCATTAAATCTTTTTCAAATGTAATGTGTATGTGTGTATAAGTAGTATTCAGTAAATACTTGAAAATGTACAAATCATTCATCCATACCTGTGCATGAGCTGTATTCCTCACAGCAATAGAGCTCAGTTAAATGCAACTACAAGTAGGTTACTGTAGGGTGTTTTAAGATAAAATTTCTCCTAGTTACTTTTTCTCTTAAATGTAAGTGCCTGTTTGACTTTACCTGTTACTTTTGTTTAATAAAGTTTGTATGTTGCATTTAAAAAAAAAAATACCAGGGCCTGGTCGAGTCTATGTTAAAGAAGTGGCGTTAGAAGAAGTTTAAGTTTAAAAAATGTGGCTCTCCAAAGAAATTCCAAGCGTTGTCCTGTTGATATGTGGCTCTGTGGACTGAGGAGTTTGCCGACCACTGGCCTATAGCGAATAGTCATGTGTTTTTCCTTCTTTCCCTCGGCTTGGAATGCAGGGGTGTGGTGGGGGGGAGCACGAAGTGCTGCAGGGCCCTGGAGCCTTAGACACCTGGTGAAGGCGTACCCCCGGAAGGGAATTGTAATGAGTCGGGTGAATGGCTGCAGAATGGCCATGTCCCGTATGTTTCAGAGTGAAGGAGCCCTCCCGCTGAGCTCACTCAGTAAATCGCGTAAGTGGTTTCAGGCTGGGTTTGCCCAGGGCAGCAGGCCATCCACAAGTGCCTTCCTCCTCTCCTGCACACGATGTTGTACCAACAAGCACACACCGCGTGGGCTTTTCCCGCCAATCCCCAGGCACGTTCTCAGGCCTCCTGTTCAGAGTCGGGAGGGTGCCCCGCGGTCCATTACCTGCATGAGATGGCGGAGAGTCAGGACAGGGATCTCACCTCCCGCACGTCCCCTGCCCAGGG